GAATAGTAAACTAAATGGCATTCAATTCAATGTTTAAAAAATTTGTTATAAATCTTGCTTTTCATCGGAGACAATTTTAATTTTCCTGATCATAAATTAAATCTAATATTTAATTTTTACCAGTCACTTTTTGAAGTGTTTTTGCCAATGTGTTTGCTTCCCACGCTTTATGAGATTTTTTTCCGAATACAAAGCTGAGAAAACCCGGACATAATGGCAAGTGCTTGACAACCTGGCGTGATACACTGATACCTGTGATAAGGCGTGATACACTGATTCCTGTGATAAGGCGTGATACACTGATACCTGTGATAAGGCGTGATACACTGATACCTGTGATAAGGCGTGATACACTGATTCCTGTGATAAGGCGTGATACACTGATTCCTGTGATAAGGCGTGATACACTGATACCTGTGATAAGGCGTGATACACTGATACCTGTGATAAGGCGTGATACACTGATTCCTGTGATAAGGCGTGATACACTGATTCCTGTGATAAGGCGTGATACACTGATACCTGTGATAAGGCGTGATACACTGATACCTGTGATAAGGCGTGATACACTGATTCCTGTGATAAGGCGTGATACACTGATTCCTGTGATAAGGCGTGATACACTGATTCCTGTGATAAGGCGTGATACACTGATTCCTGTGATAAGGCGTGATACACTGATTCCTGTGATAAGGCGTGATACACTGATACCTGTGATAAGGCATGATACACTGATTCCTGTGATAAGGCGTGATACACTGATTCCTGTGATAAGGCGTGATACACTGATTCCTGTGATAAGGCGTGATACACTGATTCCTGTGATAAGGCGTGATACACTGATTCCTGTGATAAGGCGTGATACACTGATTCCTGTGATAAGGCATGATACACTGATTCCTGTGATAATAAATTCTTTGGAGGACATTACCAGCTGTGATACATTGAACTTTTCGAAACCATTCTATGGGAGGTGGGGTGTGGTGGGGGCTTTTTACGAGCGTTGCTGATGACCACTTGTACAAACATTGATGTAGACATTCATTAGACAGTGTCAATGTTCTTTAGACATTTTGACTACATGTCATAGCTTATGACGGTGTGTTTGACTAACTGGTGTTATTTTAGACAGTGTGATTGCATGTTAGACAGTGTAATGCTATGTTACACAGTGTGATGCTATGTTAGACAGTGTGACGCTATGTTAGACACTGTAGCGGTATGTTAGACATTGTGACTTCATGTTAAAATGTGTTGCGGTATGTTAGAAAGTGTGACTGTATGTTGGACATTTTTTGTGATGTTATGTTTGACATTGTGACGGCATGTATGACATTGTGGCGGCATGTATGACATTGTGACGGCATGTATGACATTGTGACGGTATGTATGACATTGTGACGGTATGTATGACATTGTGACCGCACGTGTGACATTGTGACGGTATGTTAGACAGTGCGACTCCACGCTAGACCTCAGAATTCAAGTAAAACATTCCAATGTTTTCTCGTCGCCCCCATTCAAGTAAAACACTCCCACCTTATTCCCCCCCCCAATCGATAACCTGGTTAAGGCTTAAAAGGCAAGTTTCTTCCCCCCCCCCTTTTTGTTTTTCAATTCCAAGTTGTTTGTTGTTATACAAAGCCGTCTTGTTTCAAGCAGTATGTCTTCCGGAAAGATGGAGTATTCTGTACCTCTGTTATTCTTGTTTCAAATAGTGCAATTGTTTTGGTGTGGCCGCTGTAGAGTGTGTTGTCTTGCCTTAGGTGCTGGACTATCAGTTGTTGTTGATTTTTGTTTTTCAAAGAAGCTAATACAACAGTCGGCGATGGCGTATAATCACGTGACCCCCAAATGTTAGATTGTTTGGTTACAACTGTGATTGTTTTGACTAAAGCGCGTCCCCATGGTTTAATGCTGCTACGGATTCAAAAATGCGTGCACATTTAGATAAATAAAGTGTTTCACGATTATAAAATAGCCTACGATAAAAGTGTGAGATCCACTGTCTAAACTTGAACTTTAACACGAGACCAGGTGGGGTGATGTTTAGGCAGAGACCAGATGGTTTTGGTGGTGTTCAATCTTTGTTTGTTTTCCAGAAATTATTTCCAAAATTTGTGATGATTTTTTTTAACGTTTTTCTATTTTGACGTCTGCCATCTTTACGCCTGCTTCTGGTCAATGGTTATAGTTGTATACATTGTTATAATCGATGTGCCTTGTTATATTCGAAAGTTATGGTTACATTCTTCTTGAAAGTCGATGGTATTATGGATATCATTTGTAGTAGTCATTGTTTAGTGACGAAATCCTTGTAATAGTCAACGCTAAGCGACTATGGCTTTGAAATAGTCAATTTTTGGTATAGTGTTTTCCATATGAACTCCTTAGTGAAACAAAGTAGTTTTTTTTTCAAGGTGAATATTTCAATAGCCTGATAAAGCAAAATCTGATGCGCTGGTTTGAAAACATTTCAAATATTAATGGATTGATAAATTTATTCCAATATTTGTGTTAGAAAACTGCTCTGATGTCGTCATTTTTTATGATTGGTGAGAATTCAAATGTGGCCGCACCATTTAAACATGCTCAGTTTTTATTCAAACATAGAACTGTTGAGGTGATTTCTCAAGCTTAAAAATATCATCGAAAACAAATTAACTGTCCTGATAACATTTATCTTTGACAGTTCTTGATATTGGCTTTATGTTGCGATATCTGTGCACAAATATAAAAACTAAAGATGGATTATCTCGGGAATTTTTCTTCCAAAAATCCAAACAATCTTCATTTAGGGAAAAAAATGACTTCGATTCACTGAAACTTTTGAACATATTTCAATGAAATGATTTAACAATCTCTTACCATTACACTAATCGCTAGCCTCTGGATCACCATTAATCATGGGCCGTGCCTGAAAAGCCCGAGCCGCCATCAGCGATGGACAGTTTGTTTACATGAGACCGGCGGCGCACCCGCGAATTTTGGGGTGGAGGGACTGACGCTACCCGCCGTTTTTTGGACAATACATCGATCGTCTGCTGCTTGCAGACTCAGGAGCACGGCCCGGCCGGGGCTGTTTTCGTAAGAGAGGGGGTATCGTTTTAAACTAAGCTGGCGTCTATGGAGAGACGTTACTCTTCTCAACAAGATGGATCGTGCGTGGATCCCCTGTGGGATCCTTTCTCCACCGACCACGTGAAAGCTTTAGTTCGCAGGGAGTCTCCGAGCACCGACGACAACGCCAGCAGGAAGAGCACGCCGCTTACGCCACAGGAGTTTGAGCTGTTGTCGGACTCGAACCCTTTCAAGCAGGACATTGCGGAAAAGTACGGCCTTGCCTACCCGGGGATAACGACGAAATCTCAAAGTCACGACCTCCTGCACCGTTCCAAAGGCTTTCTGGACTCGGACGAGCTGTTCGACGCGAGAACCCGGAGAAAAAGCACAAATGACGCTGACAGCTACTCCGAGACATCCCAGAAGGGACTGCGCGGCCGAAAGTGTTTCAAAGATTCATCATATGCTTTCACCGGATTAAACGATTTTCTATTGAAAAACCAGCAGTCGATCGAAGACAGTATCCAGAAACTGAGCGACTCTGATGCGGATTTGACCCGTCTGCAGCGAAAGGAATTTCTTTTGAAAAATCAGAAATCCATCGAAGAAAGTATCCAGCGTTTGGAAAATTTCGAAAAACTTTTTCCTCTCTCAAAACAGGTGGTGATCCACCGTCTGGATGAGGTGGATGTTTTAAATACGAGCTCTGGAGATCATTGTACCGGACGCCAAATTCCTGATCTGTTACCGAGAGATGAACATATTAATCCCGTAGGCTTTTCCGGCGATTTTCGTGGCAGCGTCAAACCGTGTGATGACTTAATTGACCTGACACCGGATGACGGCGACCCCAGTCGGCCAGCTGATCAACAAAAGCGCGTCACAACAACATCTGTAGCGCCGCCTGATCCCATCTCGACCGGCGTGAGAGCGCCGGGACACGGTCCTGATCCCTCTTCGCGCAAAAGTTATGCTGATGATGGAGGTCAGACCACTGAGGTCAGGCCACTCGATCCCTATTCCTCCATTAGATTTGAGGATTATAATCGGAAACAGGATCAAAGCAAGTCGCTGTCAGAAGGTCAGACCTCGGCGTCTAGTGAGGATTCCTTTGATATCCCTCCGCTGTTGACTAGGAGCCTGGACATTGGCAAATCGCCTGGATTTATACATGGCAAAAATTCCTTCATACCTGTCACAGCTGTATCTAACGACACGCCTGTCTCAAACGGCACAGCGCCGTTGTTTGATATCGCACCACCAGTATATCAGATAAAAGACGTGACATCCATTCTCGAGTTAAATTGTTCAACTATAAATGAAGACAAAGATGTGTCAGTAACTGTCATCGGAGATGAAGTGCAAGCCCCGACCGCGGTGCTAACAATTTCTGGTGATAGTATCGACTTCCACTTTGGGTCTTCGCTGGAAGAGACGGGAGACAGCCCGACGCCTGCCGGAGGCGTAGATCCGTGGACTGATCCTTTTCAAAACGTCCCATTGCCCAAACACGTGAACGTGGTACACGTGCAAGAACCTGGGAGCACTGACTTGGATCAACGCCAGACGAGCATTTACTCGGCTGCCGTGAGCAACGGTGCGTCGCCAAGCAGCGTAGCAGTACCTGGTCTCGGCGCTGAACAGCTTGAAAATCCGTTAGAGTCGGAGATTCTTCTTTTTGACATTCACCAAGATTTAGACTTCCGGTCACACGCAGTCCCAACACTAGCCCAGGGCAACATCGGCAGTTTGGAACGCAGCGTTAGTCCGTTTTCGTTGCTTGAGGACTCCGAAGAGAAAACGTCACCTTTTATGGCGGGGGACGATAAATTTAGCTCTTCTTTCTACGCGGTGTTCAGCACAACTGTATCGTCGCTGGAGGACATTGCAGATCCGGAACAGGGGGCAGGTGGAACGGAAACACGGGAGCTAACACCTGTCTCTCAGGTTGACGAGAAGAGTTCAGAAGATATTATAATGGACGAGGATATCGAGAGAGCGACATGGAATGAACAAGATGATATCGTTGGGTTCGGTGCTGATGATAATTGTACTACACATCTCGACGAGACCTCTGGAGATGATTCTGTTTTCGATGACATCCGGAATCAACAGAGTAAGGATGAATTGATTTCGTTTGTGGATAGCATGCAGTCGTCGGAAAGAGGTGACCACTCGCCGTGTATTTCTAAGGATATTCTATTTCAAACTAAAATATCAGTGGGCAGTGGAGACTCGTCAAGGGGCAGTATTTCAAGAGAATCAATGAAGGTCAATCTTTCCCAGGACAGCTCCACTCTGGACCAACCCGATGATCTATCAGCATCGGCTCCCCCGTCTCAAAGCCAACCTGAACCAGTGGTGCGAAGAAACTTTGACGTCACAGCGGTTCTTTTGCCTCTCGCCGAGTGCTCGTCGACAGATTCCATGCTGGTGAACATGTCCAGCGACAGCCTCGCGGTGACTAACGTAAAGTTGAGAGACAGCCTGTCCAGAGGTCCCGACCGGGGCAATAGGAACACGTTGTCCATCGATCTCAGGAGACGTAACATGCTGGAACAGACGAGGCGCCGTTCGCTGCCGATGATCATGCTGAAAAACCTGGGTAAAAACCAACCCATCTTGTGGTCGTCCCAATCGGTGGACGAGAACATTGATGTTTCTCACCGGCGGTCATCTCTACCCTCAGACGGTCCGCAGTTGGAGGAGATTCAAACGTTTAAGTCGTCGACACCCAAACTGCAGTACGAGAACCAGAAATCTGGATCAGTGTCTTCATTTACGTCATTTGGCAAACGGTCATCAGTCGTTGAGAACGAGCCACAGAAAACAGTTGACCTATCAGGCACGAAATCTTCAACTACTGCGAATGAAGTTGTTGCACAAGGGGTATCGGTGGATCTTTTCCAACCACCTCTTGACCCTTGGGGATCTGACATTTCCAGCAACAAAGACTCAAATTTTGAGAATTATTCGAGTAACAGTTTGCCCTGGGGTGATGATGATTGGGCCGCGCAGTTGTCGAATCCTTTTGGCGACGACTTTGTAAGACAAACTGTTGATGTTCAGCCTTCTGGAAGGAGTGAAGAAATATCAAAAAGAAAAGATGTTAAAACAAAAGACTCAATTCATGAGGATATTTCTCTAATCACGAGTATTGGTACATATGTCAGTGCTTTACCAGATAGTGAAAACCCGAATTTGAGAATCGAGTCTAGCAAAGAGCCTGTTGTTTCACCAACACATTCTTCAGTCTTCACTAGTTTTGTGAGGAACAAACTGCAAAATCCTCTCAGAGCTTTTGGTAAATTCCCTTTAAAGTCAGAAGGTGAAAGTGGGCCGACAAGCTTCAGGGAAATTATAGCACACGCCGATGAAACCGTGGAGTATCCAAAAGAGGTCATCTTTCTTGAGCATATCAAAGAGGCTCACTCTAAGGTCAATATCGCAATACCACCAGACCTTGTGCCGTACGAAGAACAGTACCTAGAGCCAATGCAGTGTCTTCGGGAAGTCAGCTCTGAAAGCGGACTTTCTGATGCTGCATGCTTTGATGCTACTGGAACCGCACCAGAGAAAGTAACACCCGAAGATGTCGGAAAAGAATCTAAAATTATTAAAGAGAGCCCCACAACCAACCGTGAAACTGATCCTACAGAAAAGTCATCGCAGCCTTTGCAGGACGGGCTGGTATTTGAAACAAGTGATTTTGAAGTGCATGAGACTACAGAAATAAATAATAAGGATTCAGCGGTGTGCCAAATTTGTGACGCCCCTGAAGAGGAAACTAATAAAGTTAATGCCGATTTCGTTAAGGCTGACAGCAGCAGTGACAGTGATGGCGGAGATATCGACGCCCTAGTGATGGAGTACAAGCAGGAGGTAAGCGAGAGCGACGACAGTGACATCGACAACATCGTCATGGCGTTCAAGGTCGAAAACCCCGAGCAGGAGTTGCAGAAAGCAGCCGAGGCTGAGAAACACAGGAGGTCGGCTTTCAATAAATTTGGTAAAGTTCTGAACAAGATGCAGTCAGTCACTAAATACATGACTACTAAAAAGAAGGACAAGGAACCAGATGAGAAGTTCAAGTCACCGCCAACCAGCGGGAGGCACACTCGTAGTCAATCTCAAGACGAGGGAGCAGAGAGCACGTCCCCGCAAGCAAAACTTGAACAGGAGGATGCGTTTGACTTGTTGAACAAAGCTGCTGAAGTATTCAAAGAGCAGACCGTGCGGAAGAAGCGGACAAACCCGGCCAGTGTGTGGCGCTCGAAGACACTGCACACGGAAACCGTCGAACCCGAGGCGGAAACCGATTGTGACATAGTCACGAGGGCGGCCATTTTGTTTAAAGGTTTCAAAAGTAAGAAGGTCAATGACCATGATCCGGGGGATTTAAAAGCAGAGAGCGAGGATCAATTATCGACAGGCACAAACGCAATACTGGACTCCACATCATCTGAATTTGCAATTAAAACTGATCACGGTGAAGAGATTTCGTCGGACCCATTATCAGGATCTCAAACAGAAACACAAGAGCACTTGTTTGAAAATCTGATTGAAGCCAACGTTGAATCCGATAAAATGGATGATTGCCCATGCTCACCCAGTGGTTTCTCAGATTCCGCTGTTCACCCAGAGCCACCACTAGATCAAAAAAAATCAGAACGGGTTGAAGAAGCGGGGAGTGCTATGGGAGACTCGGGGTTCGAATCTGTTATTCGATACGCCGCTGAGCAGCAAGACGCTTGCGAGGAAATCGTAACGTTCCCATCAACACTCAGTGAAAACGCCACCGAAACATCTGTCACGTCAGCGAGTTTGGACATGTGTAGACACGATTTCATTGATTTTGATGTGAAGGATGAACCAATACTGACCCACACAGACACAGAATCCAAGTCTGGGAAAATTATTCTGGATGCAGATGTTAGTCGTGAAGTAATGGGTACGGAAGCGACACAGGGTGTCATAAACAATTTGAACTTAAATAGTGTGTGTGAAGAGGTGTCCCAGCCTTATTGTGTTGATCTGGATTCAAAGGAAGCACAACAGAAAGATTCAAAAGAAACAGTAGATGTGACACTTGACGGAGTTCCACAGAGAAGCATGACAGTTGACTCTGAGCTTGAGCCAGAATCTCCTAAAATACTGGGAGTGTTGAATGAGCAGACATGTGACCTAATTCTCAGCACCGGTTACGAAGAGGTGAAGGTGGGGAAAAAAGGCGACACAGCGATTGCCTCGGATAAACCCGACGTCAAGGTGAAAACCCGCAAGAAGGGACATAGGGACGAGACCAACGGTAAGCTGGAGGAGCTGGCAAAGGAGATATCCTTGGTGGAAGCAGCAGGCTACAAGGACACGACAGGCAGTGACAAGGCTGGGGCAGACATGCTTGACATACGCCCACCGGAATACAAGAGGCTGTCATCGGAGTCGACCGAAAACCAGGATACGATGAGTCTAACCGTCAACTGTCCCGACTCGCCGGAGAATGGAATAAGTGATAACGGGGACGGAAAATTCTCGTTGTGTTGCGGCGGGAATTTCAAAATTCACCTGAACTGCACGGCCATGGTGAAAAAACCCGAGCGGCGTCCATCGGCTGTGATCATTGCAAACAAAAGGTGTGCCATGACGGAAGAGGAAAATATGTTCCCCATGAAAGTTAGCGAAAGTTACCGAGCCGGTCTCAACTTTAGCATCGACAAAACTGACGTAAGCGAAACCGGGAAGATGTTGAAAGGCCCCGTAGCTCCGTTGCGAATGGTGCAGGACCTGAAGGTGAACGAACACGAACTGAATCGCAATTTTGCCGGGAGCCGCGAAGAGCTGTTAGCAGAGGCGGAAATAAAGCCCGGTGCCACAGATGTGAAGGGTGGCGACGTGATAAACAAGCAGGAGGCGTTGACCCAGACGGCAGGAGGCGAAGATCTTCAGAAAGTTACCGGGTCGGAAAGTGTCAAAACGGACGCCTTGGAAGAGAAACCCGATAAGATGGGGGCTGAAGCCGAGAGAAATAAAAGAGTGGAGAAAAGGCGGTCGATACTTGAAGAGCTGGACGCCAATAAAGAGACCATTAATATGTATGATTCTGTTCTGGACGAACTGATGAAAAGGCAAGGAGAAGGGGCCACCGGAGGAAAAAAAGAAGAAATGTTAGACTCGTCTCAAAGCACAAAGTCGGAAAAGTCTAAACGTTACGGAAGGGTAATGAGCGAGTCTGAATTTGATGCAAATTTTGGAGAAGCCATTGAGAAATGCGAGCAAAAGCTGAAAGAAGTCGCCATACAGCAGGACGCAATCACCGTAATAAATGAAGATATGATCAGCGACCCCACGAGGTACGTCAGTGATCACATCATAACGGTGACCCCTCGGGACTTGATCCCCGGTTTCGCCATGCAGCAGAGCATGGACGTGTACGACAATGTACTGTACCCGGATGTCGGCCCTCCGCTTCCCGAAAGGTCATTCCGGTCTGGGATCAGACACGTGCATGACAAAAGGTCAGCTCGCGACCCACATGACGCTAGGTCCAGTTTTACGAGCATAGTGTCCGACAGTGCCACCAGCGCGTATATGCACGGTATACGGCCGCAGGGGAGAACTAAATGGGTCAGTTCCACCCCGCATCTGTCCACCCTTGATAAACGAAACGACGTCATTACGAACCGAACGAATTCGTTCCCTTATTTAGACCGATCGGACAACGTGGTGTCCACGCAGTATGGCGGCCACGTTGGCTCCGCTACCAGCTTCAACTCAGACTCAGCATGCTGGGGAAACTACGCAAGGATTGATGACGTGCACGACAGGAGATCATACGATTCTGAAAGCTCAACTTCCGGTCTAGTGATCCCGGGAGCGGGCAGGGCGTCGACTCTGAGTGATGTAAGCGACGCTTACATATTCGGGGAGTACTCCACGGTCAAGGACGAAATTCCCTACGACAGGGTTATCCGCCCGTTGAACGGTCACGGCCATCCCCTGGACAACGCCTTCAAATTCAGGCATTTCCCGGCCGCCGTGGAAGACTCGCCATACGAAAACATCAAAGTCATCACATCCCAGCCCGTCGGCTCCCACCCGCGGTACTACAGGTCAAACGTCGACGTCCACGGTGACGTCACGTCCGGTTTCGAGCACTACGCCGTCATCGGTCAGCCGATGGAGTCAAAGTCCGTTCAGTACTCCGGACCCTCGTCCCCCACCGGGGTCATGAAGATCAGCTGCGCGTCACAAACCAGCACCGAGTCCCTGGTCGGGCTCGTGAGGGACGACGCCTCGGATATCCTAGAAGGCCTCCCCGTGTTCGAGTACACTCTCGGGGCCACTCTGAGCACACACAGCCACCTGGCGGACGCGGCAGGAGATTTCCCAGCCATGACCAGGTACTCGGACGACAAGCCAGACCTCACCAAACAGACCCAATCGCTGGACAGGCGCAAGAGCAGGCAAAAGTCGAAAACGAGTGACCCGGTCGTGAAGAAGCAGACCAAAGTCACATTTTCAAGAGACGCCGTCCTGACGGATGTCATCGACGGCATTAAGAAAAGCGAGCAGGGCGCAGAGTCCAACAGCAGGGGCTTACGAGATATCGCCTCCTCAACGATAAGCTCCATCGGTGGCGGAGTCAAAGAGATTGCGAAAATTTTCCACGTCCCTTTTCAATGCTGCCGCAGTTCGAGACGAGAAAAACCCAAGGTAAGGGGTGAATATTGTGCATAGTGTGTTTATAGGACTTAATTTTAGTTACATGTGTACGTGTTTTTTTTTTTTTAATTTTAAATTACAAATGTAAAGACTTTTTTCTCTCTTTAAATTTATTTTAAATATTGTACCGTTCTAAGTGTCTAATTCATTTGTTTAATTAGAATATACGGACTTTTTACATTGATAAAAAAACAGTGTTAATGTTTAAAAATGAATAGTTTTTAATCGTGAAATTATTTTCATTGTCATATAATGGTCGGAGTAGGCAGAATATGTTCTCTAATCACATGGTGTAGGCAGAATACGTTCTCTAATCACATGGTGTAGGCAGAATACGTTCTCTAATCACATAGTGTAGGCAGAATACGTTCTCTAATCACATAGTGTAGGCAGAACACGTTCTCTAATCACATAGTGTAGGCAGAATACGTTCTCTAATCACATGGTGTAGGCAGAATACGTTCTCTAATCACATAGTGTAGGGAGAACACGTTCTCTAATCACATGGTGTAGGCAGAATACGTTCTCTAATCACATAGTGTAGGCAGAATACGTTCTCTAATCACATAGTGTAGGCAGAATACGTTCTCTAATCACATAGTGTAGGCAGAATACGTTCTCTAATTACATAGTGTAGGCAGAATACGTTCTCTAATCACATAGTGTAGGCAGAATATGTTCTCTAATCACATAGTGTAGGCAGAATACGTTCTCTAATCACATAGTGTAGGGAGAACACGTTCTCTAATCACATGGTGTAGGCAGAATACGTTCTCTAATCACATAGTGTAGGCAGAATACGTTCTCTAATCACATAGTGTAGGCAGAATACGTTCTCTAATCACATAGTGTAGGCAGAATACGTTCTCTAATTACATAGTGTAGGCAGAATACGTTCTCTAATCACATAGTGTAGGCAGAATATGTTCTCTAATCACATAGTGTAGGCAGAATACGTTCTCTAATCACATAGTGTAGGGAGAACACGTTCTCTAATCACATGGTGTAGGCAGAATACGTTCTCTAATCACATAGTGTAGGCAGAATACGTTCTCTAATCACATAGTGTAGGCAGAATATGTTCTCTAATTACATAGTGTAGGCAGAATACGTTCTCTAATCACATAGTGTAGGCAGAATATGTTCTCTAATCACATAGTGTAGGCAGAATACGTTCTCTAATCACATAGTGTAGGCAGAATACGTTCTCTAATCACATAGTGTAGGCAGAATACGTTCTCTAATCACATAGTGTAGGCAGAATACGTTCTCTAATCACATAGTGTAGGCAGAATACGTTCTCTAATCACATAGTGTAGGCAGAATACGTTCTCTAATCACATAGTGTAGGCAGAATACGTTCTCTAATCACATAGTGTATAGGCTGTAAAAGTGTCGATTTTTAAATTTTGTTTTTGCAATGAATCACATTCTTAGAACTTTTATCTCCATTTATTTTTGCAAGGATTACAATTTATAAATGTGTTGTTGTTTTATTTTAATAAACTATTCTCATCCCTAATCGTTGTATTGTCTTGGACTTGGTACACGTAGAACCGTTTTGTTTTCTGTACAATATGACTTTAATGTGTGTTTCATGTATTCCCTAGATGTATGACATAGGTGTATGACAAAGATGTATTACATAGCTGTATGACATAGGTGTATGACTTATGGGGGTTACCTAGGTATATTACTAAATAATTCATGTAATTAAACAATCATTATTTTAATATTTTTTAAAGAAGAGTTTGTGATATTCCAAATCACAGCTACGTGTAATGTGTTTAGAAATGTAGCCCATTCGTAATGATAAATAAATAGCTAAAGAACAGAAAATTGCCTGACAGACTCGCATCAAGATACGAACACACCACTATAAGGTGATATGTACTACACACCACTATGATACACCATGCGACGTCACTGGTGTCAATAATAAAAGATGTGTCAGATATAAAACACAACTATAATATGATACGTACCACACACCACTATGAGGTGATACGTACCACAAACCACTATGAAGTGATACGTACCACACACCACTGTGAGATGATACATACCATACCCCACTATCATATGATACGTATCTCACACCACTATAAGATGATAGGTACCACATACCACTATGAGATGAAACGTAACACAAAACACTATGGGGTAATTGCAGTGAGGGATGCCGGATTAAAGCCAGGCAAAAGTCCCAGTGTTATTCACAATGCCTCTAAAACTAGGATGATCCCTGAACAGATGAACACTGCATTGTAACAACAATGCAATTAAAAATAATGTCTACTTTAATAATACTTAAGAGTGGCCTACAAGTATTTTACAAACAAGCCAGAGACTATTTCGTTAAGAAATAAAACCAATGGCATCCCTATAGCTGCCATCTTTTTACCCACTGCATGTATTTGCTGTGATGGCCGGGTGCGCCGATTACATTAGACTTCTTGCATGATCTTAACTTACAATATCCATCTGTAATGTTTCTATAATCCGCCTTAACCCGATGCATCTTTACGTGAAAGACTATGTTCTTCCCCCTTTGAATCTGGAGATATTTCAGGGAATATCTCGTATCGCTAACCTGACCATGTTAGAGTTTTGATTAGTTCTCTACATGATACGAGTTGAGTTGTTGTTGTTTTTTTTAATATTCAGGTGATCTTTTTGTTGTGTCTTTTTTTAAAGCTTTCAAAGGTTATGGAATGGAAAGCTTGGTAGAAAATTGTGGGTTGTTTTAAACTTTAATGTGCACAAGTCAGTGATTATGAGTTTTTACAAAAAAAAAAAAATAGCTTAAAGAAATGTTTGTTGCATTGTGCTTGTAAAAAAGGATCTAAATGATAGGGCAACATTTTCTAAAAGGTGGGGTCACATTTTCTATAAGATAGGGCCACATTTTCTAAAAGATGGGGCTACATTTCTAATTAATGAGGCCACATTTCCATAAGATGGTGCAACATTTTCTATAAGATACGGCCACTTTTTCTATAAGATGGGGCCAACACTTTCTATAAAATGTGCCCTACATTTTCTATAAGGTGGGGCCACATTTTCTATACAATGGGGCCATATTTTTTATAAGATGGGCCCACATTTTCTTTAAGATGGGGCCACATTTTCTTTAAGATTGAGCCACATTTTGTATGCGATGGGCCCACATTTTCTATAAGATGGGGCCATATTTTCTATAAGATAGGGCCACACTTTCTATGAGATTGGGCCACATTTTCTATAAGAGAGAGCCACATTTCTTATAAGATAGGGCTACAGTTCCTATAAGATAGGGCTACAGTTCCTATAAAATAGGGCTACAGTTCCTATAAGATTGGACTACAGTTCCTATGAGATAGGGCTACAGTTCCTATAAGAAACACTAACATGACCCAACATTCGTCTTTGTTCTAACACAATTATTCTTCTATATCTAAGTTCTTTATGAGTTTTTAATTTGGATCTGGCAGCTGCGACAATTAAAAGAACCCACAACGAGGCACTTAGTGCGCAGCTTTTTTATTATACTATGGAGTGCACAGCTGCCTCTGACTTACCTTGGAGTGCACACCTGGTTCTACAACACCATGGAGTGCACAACTTGTTCTAACATACTAAGGAGTGCACAACTCTTTCTAACATACTGTGGGGTCCACAGCTTCTCCTAACATACCATGAAGTGCACAGCTGTTTCCAACAAACCATGAAGTGCACAGCTGGTTCTAAAAAGCAATGTGGCGCTGATCTAAATGGTCTCTGTGAGCGCAATCTGTGTTTCTAACCTCATAACCTGGGTGCTAAGTGCTTCATAACCTTGGTGCTAAGTGCCTAATAATCTAGATGCTGCTAAATGCTTCATACCCTTACCAGGAGTGCTAAAAGCCTATAACCTGGGTTCTAAAAGCATCACCAATAAACAGTTGATAATCATAGAATCACTATTGATGTAACATTTTGCCAATAACACTATCTAATAATTAAGTCAATTCCACCCTACTACACTCTGTATCTTCAGTAATTTTACTGACCCCCCCCACCCCCCAACTTAACTTGGTATCGTCAACTTCCTTGATATCTCAAAGGTTGGGTCACTGAGCCCCTCACCCCCACCCCCACCCCGTCCCATAACATTTCAAACACCCCTAAACCGTCCGCTCAATCCTGGTGAATAATTCGCACTGGTTTCCCCCCCACCCCTCTACCCTGCCCCCCCCCCCTCACTGTTTGTTTGGCCAGGGTTGTTTATTTCAAGTTATTGATTCCCTTTTATTGCGTGGCCAATCTTTCATCTGAGTTCAATTGTTCCGTGGTGAATAATTCGCCCTGGTTTCCCCCCCACC